GCCACAGTGTCACAGGGCTGTGCTTCAATTGCTCTAGAGAAGAATTCTTCCTAGCCCCTTGTTAGCAGCAATGCTTGGTGTTCCTCAGCTTGCAGTTGCATTATTCCAATCTGCCTTGTCGTCAAATGGTCTTCTGTCCTCTGTGTCCCRTGTCTATGTCCAAACTTTTTTTTCTTAGAAGAACACTAGCATTGGTTTAGGTTCATTGTAATCCAATATGACCTTATCCTAACTTGACTATGTTTGCAAAGCCCCAGTTTCCAAATAAGATCACCTTCGTGGGTACCACATATTAGGACTTGATATATATTTTGGGGAGAAACAATTTTACCCATTACTACCCCATGTCTTATCTGGGCTATTGGTGAAAAGGCAGCAATGATTACTAATCAGTTATTTTGAAATAACTGATTTCTGAGGTACTTGAAAATYGGTTTAAGAATATTTAAAGCTTTTTCTCTCATTTTAATATATCCTTCCAATACTTTTTGGTTTATTTAGTGTATTATTAGTTAATAATATTAAAGTCACTTACATTGGGACTTAATAAAAGTAAGGAATTAATTTAATAAATGTATCAAAAGGATATATGTCTGCTGAAATAATGGGATTTCTCCTCATTTAATTTTTGGTCATCATAAACAAAGTTCATTTTTAAGGAGAGGAGCATTCTTTACATTGTTATTCCAGAGATCAGTGATTTGATATCTTGYAGAATTTGAAAATGCTTAGAATGAAAAAGGAAAGTAATTCTACTGAAAAGAAAAAAAGTTTTTAGGAGATAAATACYCAGAGTGATGAAACCCACCAGTAACTGGCAACTATAAGGTAAAGTGATAATTAACTTTATAGATGGAAAGGATTACTGAGGTGGTAGAGAWAAAAGGCAAGAATTACACATAGACCACTGAGAACATGCAGACAACAGGTATAAAGTGAGATAAGAAAGGAAAAATGGGCAGAAGTGAATGACATATTATTAGAATTAATGATAGCAAAGGCCTGTATAGTCAAACTTTGGTCTCCTAAAGCATAGAGATTTATCTCTCTTTTCCTAGCTCATTGCCAGACACTTAACAATAGTTTTTCAATAAATGTGAAGAAGAAAATAAGTGACAGAATTGAGAGGGAGTATACTTGATGTAAAGAATGGGGAATTCAATGAGGCTCAGCCCTTGGCACTGCTACTATGTTAGCTGTGAGGCTTTGGCTAAGTTATACAGCCTTTTAAAATCTCGGTGTCCTTATTTTTGAAGTAGGAATGTTACGTCAAAAACCCTTTTAGAATTTGAGCAAACAATTGTGTTTTTAAGTGAGCAGTAGCTTACTTAATAAGTAKCATGGCAATATATTTCTAATACTGATTTCCTCTCATTTCTTCTCATTGCCCTTTTTCTCACTCTTCCACTTTGACATTGGCCACACTAAAAAAATAGTAATAAGTAGGCTTTTGTTTCAGGTTCTAACTTTCTGAAGAACCCAAGCTTAGACAAGATTGAAAAACTGTAAATGTTCTATTCTAAATGAATACTCACTGAACAAAACAAATATAGATCATTTAGTGAAACACTTATAAAAGCAATAAAACAATGCTAACAACAACAACAACAACAACAAAAACATCTACACATGACCACATCTGTATGTCCTATCAGCAAATATAAGTGGCCTACAATGAGACTGGATTTTTATAAAGTTGATACATGCAGTATTTGAATAAAGTTAGTTGAAAAGAAAAAAGATATAGCAGGCTAATGAAAAGAAGATAGAAGTCACAATCCTAGCATTGGGTAAGGTTCAGCACTTTATAAATAAGAAAAAGAAGGGATACTATAGTCTGAAACACAGTCCTTACTAAACATCAACAATTATGCATATATCTGTGCTCTAGGTAGCATAGTATTCAGATGAGAAAAAAAATTAAGAATTAGATGTAATAGTAAGAAATATGAGTACTATAGGTGAAAAACAAAAAATGCATTRGCTATGGAACTTCCTAAAAGTAACTATTTTAGACTACAAAGGAAAATGAATTTCCAAAAATAGAAATTTCTCTTGATAACCATACATTAATCTATAAAATAACATTGGTGGCATAGGATAAAAGCATTACCACCTAGAACTTTTTAATTTTTTTCTCAAGCAATTCTCAAATGAGATGAAGTTAAATTGTAGAATATTTTGGAAATATTTAGGAATGAAAATACATATTAGAACTACAGTTCTTGTGAAAGCAGTGATTAGAAGAAAATCACCTTAAAAACAAGCTAATAAAARACATTGAGTTAATTAAAATATTCAAGACAATACAATGATAATGGCCCTAAAGAAATAATAAGAAATTTAAAAAGTGAAATCCAAATTGGAAAATTGTTAAACATATTTAAATCCAAGAAATAGTTCTTATAAAACGAGATAGTGAAATGTAAAAAACATTAACCAAATCAAGAAAAAAAATTACAAATACATAAAAATGAGATTTCAGAATAAACATGGGAATTTAGAATAATTAGAAATTTGACTGAATTCTGTGAAAATAAATTTGGAAACCTGGATGCAAAATTTTAGGAAAATATTTAACTTCAAGATCTATGCCTTCTAAATACAGAAAATATAAACGAACCAGTTATCATAGAAGAAATAATATTGTCAGAGTCACCATTCCCAAACACAAAACTTAGTATGGTCTGATAGATAAATATTACCAACATTTCAAAGAAAAGGAATCTGTAATACTGTATGTACGTCCTCTGGGAAACAGCAATGAGAGAATCAGCATGGTCTCCATATGTTTTACTACCATCTTGTGTAAGTAAGCACGTAGATTGCAGCCACTTTAAGCAAGTCACTAAACCTGTTTCAGAGATAGTTAACAGTCCATACAAATTCAATTTTTCTTTTCTATAGACTAGGTGGAATATAGTTTCTATTCAAAATTGTTTTCACCAGCTTCCCTTTTCAGCTCTCAACCATGGAATATGACTAGAAGTAATATTTACCATTTTGGAACCAAGACTTTAAGCACAGATGTACTCTCCATAGGGAAGGCAAAATATAGTCCACCCAAACATCTGAAGGCCTRGAACCTGTGTCTATGTTGTGTTACATGATAAGCTAGAATTTAAGGTTACAGATGGAATTAAATTACCAATCATCTGACCTTAAAATGAGGAGGTAATYTTGGATTAACCTGGATAACACGCCCGATGTTATCACAAAGGTCCTTAAAGTGAAAGGAAGAGGTGGAAGAGTCAGTGTCAGAGTGACCACCTCTACTGGCTGTTGTTACCTTTGAAGACAGAGGAGCCATGAACTAAAGTGTGGGTAACCTCAAAAAAAAAAAGAAAAAAGCCTGTTCACAGCTTCATTTCTGCCTGATGGATTCATTTCAGACCTCAGCCTCCAGAATTGTAAGAGAATAATTTGTGTTGCATTAAGTCCYTAAACATTTGGTAATTTATTATAGCAACAATAGGAAACTAATACTTTCCTCCACTCTTATTTTCCTCTTTTGCCCACTGGATACCATTGACAATGAAGCCCTCTATGATGGTTGAACCACAAGATGGAAGTATCTTGGGCCTTCAYATCATGAAGTAAAGCCAAAATCATCCACTGACTATAAACTCACTTTGGACTCATATGTGAGAAATAAACCTCTCTTATATTTGAATGATGACACTTGTTACAATTTATCCCAATAAATGTAATTCTATGTGCCTCAGTTATCTTATTTTAAAACATGATAGTAATAATAGTAGTTACTAGAAATAGTTTTTTGTGAAAATTAAGTGTTACTATATCTAAAATGTTTAGAATGATTCCTGATAGGATATAAATTTTATTATTAAGATYACAYTTACACAAAYGGAAACGTGTGCACACATGAAAATTATAGTTATTTCTTTCAAATAACAATACAAACATTCTAAATGAAAGCCTGGATTATTGGTAGATAGAATCCAGTCCCACACTGACAGATATGGCCAAAGTAGTTAACTTTAAAATACAGAAAATTCAATTTTAGGAAATCTGTTAATATTCAACATTAGCAGTGGATGCAAAACAGCTCCTTTCTGGCTCAGATAWCCCTATCTGAGTTAGGGATAATTTGTATCTTTTTTCTTTCTTTGCCAGGGTGTAGGGGTTGAGCACTTTTCCAGATAGGCCAACAGCATTGAAATACTGTAGATTGTAAAACTCAGCTCAAATGTTGAAATTCTCAGACTAGGCTTTATTTTTTTTTTCTTCTCATAGTTGGAGATAAGAATCTATCAATTCTAATTATGGGTGTTATTTTCTAGTATCAGARCTCTATGCTTATGTACTAAAAATAACAGTGCAMGATTGGAAACAATATTTAAATAAMTATGCTTCTTTTTCATGTAATATTAAAAATTAACTACAGATGAAGCTGTTGTCTTCATTAACATTTATTTGTAGCATTATATACAGGTGTTTTGAGATTTACCTGTGCCACCATAAGAGAACTGCTTGATTTTTTAAAATTAATTAACGTGAAACTCAAATTTCTGAAAGAATTAGCTCAGTGTACAGTTTCTACCTTTGGTATGTTAAAGGATAAGACAAGTTTTGAGGACAAAGATTGTATCCTTGTATACTCCTTGCAGACATTGGTTTTGCTGACCCAATAATATAACTCTCCTGATTATTAGACCTGAAAGGAGACTTTGGTTTGCTGAAATATTCTGTAATAGGTATTTTCATGTTGTTTTTTCTTATAAACAATGGGGTCTTGTGCTCAGCTCCTGAAACAGAAAATATACATCTATATATAAAACCATATTTGAGACACTTAAGTATAGCTGAAATAGAAAAAAAAAATATATATATATATATAAATAAGACCATGTTTGAGATACTGAGTATAGCTTCTACCTTGTTTTAGTATTAAATGATATACAAAAAAAAACCCATCATATGAAGTTTAGGTGAATCAGAAACAGCCAAAATTCATAAAAGAATCTCTTCTCATATTTCTTACCACAGACTCATCTTTAATGAGCTATGTGTTCTATAACACGCAGGCTATGCTCTTTTACTCTTAGAAACAAATGTGATTCTGGTAGGAATGATTTAGAATTGATGATGAATAAGAGGGGTAGGCAAGTGTTGGACCAGTGAGAGAAAGGAGAAAGGTCTATGGTCAGATAGWTAAAATAAGAGAATAGATAAGCAGGTTAAAACACATTCATTGTACCATAMACTACTTCCATAGCCTACATAATTGCACCCAAATAGCAATACAAATTTGTAAAGATGCTGAATAACAACAATGGAGTGAAAGGGGCATAATTTGAGGGATTTCTAGGTATCTAACAGGGAAAAATGTTGTGGGTCCTGAAGTAAGACAAAGTTAATTAGACACCATCAATGTCATCATTTTACAGTCCTAGGGTGGGAAGTTTGGTAGGAGAGTCCAGATGCAGTAGATTATCCTCATAGTTAGAGTAACGAGTGCTTTTTAATTTCTAAACTACACTTATTATTGTCTGTYAGCACATAAAGCCACTTTTGGGTTTGGTTAACCCCAATGGAACTGCTGGCATCTAGAGTGACCCCATGGGAGTCTAATTAATTAGCATATCATTCTAGTATGAGGGGAATTTGGAGAAATAACAAAGCTTATAGATATACTTGACAGTTTGTTTCTCTGTAGTCATATTTGCCATGCTTGTTTTAAAGCTAGAAGCTGCCAGATCCACAGGGGTGCTTCTCTTGGGCTATTCTGGACCAAAGTAGGACTTTCACAATTATTTTCTCTGGTCCATATTGTAGGCTGGTACTGGACATCTGTCTGGTGGAGACACAAAACTGCTCTTTTTCTATTATATTTCACCTGTCTTACAGGGTACCTGCTTGTGGCTGGTTGCCATTTTACTCTTCTCTCTGGGCTGACTTTGTATCCAGAGAAATCATCCAGCTCTATGACAGTTAAGCTGTAAAGAACCAAACTCTGAGATCGTCATCYTTTTGTAGGTCAATGCAGGGTTTTCCTTTTCATTGAGTTTGCATGACTACACCTATAGTTCTGTTGTCCTGCTGACCTGTTTCTAGGAATGTCTCTGTCCCTGATGARGCAGCACTTTGCCTTTCAAAACAAAGGTAAATTTATTTTAAATTCATCTTCATGAGAAATTCAGCAGATGTGGTCCCTTAACAGTTTTGATGGAAATCACTCTTGTATTTTACTTTTTTTCTTGTAAAAGCACAAATCTTTAAAATCAATGACCCTAAGTAGTTAGTACTGGCTGGTTTCCTTATACCGACTCAGTAATTATCACAAACTATACTTAACCTTTTGCTACTTCCTTATTTCCTGCAGATTCTTGGCTTGATGCTCTGAATCAATTGGAGAAAGAAAAAAATTAATTTCACAGATACAAATTAGACTATTCTATCAAAAACTCAGCATATATCTATCTTAAATATGCTGTCTCAGTTCTTTGCTTTTTAATGTTGTCAGTATTAAATTTACTTCCTAACAAAAAGTTCTTACTTGGAGTAAATATCTAACTAGAACGTCCATATGCTAGTCATGAAGGTGGATATTGGCTCTAACTATCTCCTMGTTTCTGATTTTATGGATACTTTATGATAGAGACAAATTACAATATAAAATTCTCTGTCTTAATCCTTTTAAAGTGACAAATTATGTTTTTAATATTAATTATCTCCGAATTTAAGTTTTACCAACTTTTAACTTTAAAGCAACAAGATTTTCTTCCTCAGCTTTAATAATACCTTACCACACATTCTTTCAACATGATATGATACATAATAAATATATATTAATCTTCTGTTCCTGAAATTATATAGTTTAAGAAAAATTTCTTCTGAAATAATTTWCAATTTCCTTTGTGGTTATTCTTCTCTCTTAAAGCCCCCCAGGAGTTTCAGAAAAATTAAGTGAAACAATTTATTTTTATCTTTATTATTCTACACAAAAAYCATGCCTATATGATGTTCATTTAACAAAATATACAATAACCATAACACTATACTTTCAGTTTTCTTTATGGCTTCTATTCTTAGTTAAACTGAAAAAAAAAAGCCCCCATATTTTCTTGGTTTTCTTTTTTGGAGAAAGAAAAAAAATTACTCTTGCTTTGCTCTTAGTGAAAAGGGAATTTTCCTCAAAAAAAAAAAAAAAAGGTTATTGGATAAAGAAGACATAGCCCCTGCCAAAATATTCTGAACAGTAGACTTGAGAACAATTCTCATATTACATATAAAAAGAAAGAAAACACACATATTGCAATCATTTACTGAGCAGAGTTGAGACTTGAACCTCAGCATATTTAGCATTTTGACAGATAAACAAGAGAACTCAAACCCTTTATATAACTATAGGCCCTTTAAGTGACCATACCTAATTACCTGGTTGGTTGATATCCATCCTTAGCTCCAGTCAGCACCTTTGACTTTGCAGGTGAATTTGGGGGAGATTTGATCCTAGTGGGTGATTTAACTGCAGATGGCTTCCCAGTCTCTCCTGCTGGTTCYGCTGGGGTGTTTCTTCTGTGGCGACCCAATAAATGTATCTCAGCCAGCTCAGAATGAATTAAAGCTGAGATCCACTCTTTTTCTGATTAAAAAAAAAAAAGTTGGAGAGTGGAAGTTGTCATTATCATGTTAGCTAGAAGCACAGACTTAGTACTTATTTCTAGCACACCAGTGTGAAGGCTGGCGATCTGTTCTCCAGGTAGGTAACTATATGTGAGTCAATGTTGCTGCAGAAAAGTTCATTCATTTCAACCTAGTTTCTGTCGACCTATGATACTGTACAGTGCTCAGGGTAGTTAAGTCACTGTCTTTGAATAGCAGTGGAATAATTTAAAAMTATTGAGTACAAAAGCTTTATAGGYTGCTGTAAAAATTTAAGGATACCTGATAATGCAGATTCTCTTTAGAAGTTTTGCTCTAGTCAGTCTGATGAYCAGTTTAGTTTCAGGATAGCTGCTCTTTGTCACTTTTGGTCTCCCTGCTTGTTGGGAATTTTAGGCATTTTCATGGGATAGGTGTTAAGAGCCCAAAGGAGGCTGAGATATAACTATGTTGATGGTTTGGGTAAAAATAGGCAGAGTTGTTAACTGAGTCCAAAACTGGGAAAGCTATGTTACTGCCATCCATACTAAAGAWGAGAAACAGGCTCTATGTTCAGAATTCACAGTAGGTGATAGGATGTGCTCAGGGAGAGTTCTAGGTGTGTGGAATTTGGAAGGAAGCCCAAACCAGCTCTAACTGAGAATAAGGTCTCCTCTGATCATAGGTGTTTCATATCATCCCAATGAGTTCAGTTGGAAACAWACTGTATTTGGGGTTCATTAAATGACCAGCATGCCTGCAGTTGGAAATACAGTACTGTAATGATTCTGACACTGAAACATGGAAGAAACAATTGCAGCCTTATCTTTGCAAATCCAAGGTAGAAAACTTCAGRTATTGGCATATTCCCAGTTTCTTTCATTAACCGAATCTCAGTATCTACAAATACTTATATCGATCTCACCTTTTGTACTTGCATGAAGCAGCCACTGTGTAACTTCTGCCAGAGAATCAGTATGTAAAATGTCACASAGCTTTGCCAAGATCTGACAGAGAACATTAATTAGAGTTACAGGGTGAGCAAAAAAGTTATACAAGTCTTAAAACATTTCCTTTACTTTCTTCATATCTCATCTCCCCGCGTCCATGATAATCAACTAACTCAAGTGGGATCTTGGTTCAGGACCCCATTTTCAAAAAGTACAAAATAATTTTAGCAAAAACATTACCAGTGTAAGTAATAGTTTAGACTAGGCAATGCTATGTGTTTCTCTTGTTATGTCAGTTCCAACATCTTCTGTAGGAGAAACTCACTTCTTCTGGGAAAGKGGTCCTTTCCTACTGTTCCTTGGGGTTCTAATGGGAATCTGAAAGAGGCTGAAGCAGTGGCCTTTRTTAAAAGTTATTATATAGTCTCTCAATCTGTCTTTTTATTGGAGTTTTTAGCCTGTTTTTGCATGGGTTTAAGTGTACCATCTTGTCACTTTTTWAAAAATTCTCTTCTATTTTTGTTCTACTTTTTCTTTTTTCTGCTTCCTTTTGGATCAATCAAGTATTTTTAAGCATTCAACTTTATTTTCTTCATTAGCTTTTCTGCCATACTTTTTTTGTTGCTCTAGGATTAAAATATTCATTCTAACATATCATAGTGTCCCTTGAATTAATATTATACCACTTCATATATAATTTAAGAATTGTGAGTTATATTTCCAGTGCCTCCTGTCTAAACTTTCAGTTACTCTTCTACACAAACCAAAAGTCTTAATAAGACCTGTTTTTTATTTTGTTCCCTCTTTCTTAATTTATTTAACAAATAGTCAACAACTATCTAGTAAAATGCCATGCTGTATGTGCCCATTAATATTTTTCAAGCAGTGATGAGGGCTGAGGAATCAGTTGTGAATATAAGATCCCTATCTTCAAAGAGTTTACATTTTAGTAGGTTTTTTWAATCAATCAGAGTCCAGTTAAACTTATGTCTATAACATGGCAGATGCCTTTAAGAGGAATGCTTTTTAATAGATACCTCTAAAGTTCCATCTATAAGAATTTTTAGTCTATTGATGTGCCCAAAGAAGCAAGACAGTCTCACTAAAACTGCATTCAGCTTCTAATTGTTAGGGTCAACCCCATGTAGTTAATTTTCTACAAATTTACCTTGGTCTTGGTTGAATATTTCTCGTGTTTTACTTATTTAACATTCAACAAAAACTTATTTATAATTATCAGATTTTTATCACTCATCTAGGCCCTGAAGAGGAAGTAGTAAACAAGATGGACAACTATGAGATCTTCTAGGACTCAACTTCTGGGGTGAGGAAAGAGAGACAATACTGAAACAAATAAATAMATGCAAACAGTTCAAATAAGGCATATGTTATGCTCAAATAACAAAGGGTAATGTCATTGAGGATGACTGGGTAGCWACATTAGATTGGGTGGTCAGGCAAAATTTTTCTGAGTGTTATTTAAACTGAAACTTGAATGAGAAAGTGACTACACAGAGGATCAAGGGCAAAAGAATGCTTATGAGGATAAGCCTATGAGGTAGAAATGAGCATATTATAGAAAACATCAGTGTGGCCATAATTTTATAGGTAAGGTGGGTGGTGATTTTGAAGACTCTGTATACTATCTTTAGTTAGAACATCATCTTTTCTTTTACTATTTTTCCCAATATAGCCATCACATAAATTATTATATATTAATAACACTGCTTATTTCTATAACATTGTTCTACTTTATTTTTAAATAGTTCCTTGTTAGAATTATTCAATGACCTTCTTTACAACACGTTTTGTTATGTATAACTGTTACGATAAATACTGATTATTTAAAATTATATTAGAGTCATCAATAYAATACTTTTGACCTTTAATTCATTGTAGTGGGTCTTACAATGAAGCAATGTGGTATGTACCAAAGTGATTCAAAGAAAAGAAAAAAAAATAGCAGATAAAAAATATCAGATAGTTTATTATCCTTGATCATATATCATTGTCAGAAATAACTGTGACTGAGGAGAACCCTCCAGTCTAATGTGACATATTACTATTCATATAACTAACTTTATAACTTCAGGCAGAAAAAACTTGTGGAAATTTTCCAAAAATAAGGAGGGAGACATGAATGTTGATTGGAAGAATATTTGCCTTAATATATAACAAGGAAATAGACAAAAGTGGCAAGAAATTAGGGATAGTGCCTCTSAAGTTTTAGGAAAATAATGTCATGGGAAGAATTGGGCTGGTTTGGTTGRTAAATGCCCATCTTTTTATTACATCTAAACCAAAGCTTGTGTTTATGTATGAGTGACAGAATTCCAGGGACAAGTAAAATGATTAGAAATGAAAACATGAACAGGCCTTGCATTTCAGGCTAAGTAATTTTAAATATTCAGGTATCAATAAGGAACCATTCTTAASTTTTAATGACAATAGTTATATGAGGTTTTTTTGGTATGTTCTTGCTATTTCCAAATTATGGATTTAATAAACCTGCCTTTTACCTTTATTTCTTGATCCAGATAGTTTGGTATGCAAACAGTGTTCTCTTTGACATCAGCCTTGGTGCTCATTGCCTCTGAAGAGCAGGATCCAGCAGTATAGCATGCATTTGGAGGTGATGGTGACTTTTTAACCTTAATTTCTTCCTAAATAAAAAGTATATTATAATCAATATGCATTTCCTACTTCTATGCAAATTAAACATAAAATGAATGAGAAACATTCTAGTAAATAAGAGAGATCCATGAAAGTAAAAGGAGGATAGTTTTAATTCTCCTTTAAATTCTATCAAACATTTGTATTTGGAGACAAAATAAATAGTGCTATATTATTAACTTTTGTTGAAATCACATAAAACTCATAATATATAATGTGTGTGTGTGTGTATGTGTGTGTGTGTGTGTGTGTGTGTGTGTGTGTGTATGACTATCCTTGAAGAAATACAGAATGAAATCAAGGTTGGAACTTGGTTTAAGTTGGTCTAAGCTGATAGAACTCGGTTCCTATAAAAGTAAACCCTCTGGGAAAAACACATTTACTTTGAGTTTCAGATTCCTACAAATAATGTTTCATACAAGATGACCAACAATTGGGTCCTGAACCAAATAAGAAATTACAGTGAGAACTGGAAAATATTTTGAACTTACTAAAAATGTTGACTAGTGAAAATTGTGAAGGCAGCTAAAGCAATATTTAAATATTAATTTATAGCTTTAAAGTACACATATTAGAAAAATAAGTTAGAATAAATAAAGTATGTTAATATACAAAATGATAACAAGAAAAATCAACAAAATAAAAATATTCAACAGAGGATGAAAAATTCACAAAGTTTTTGATACACTATTAAAATACATAAAAACTTCTGTTAAAATTAATGAAGAAAAATAATGACATGTTGTAAAAGGGTATCTCTTACAAATTCTGAAGATATTCTTACAAGATTATAAGAACATTATGTATAACTTTTCCAATAAATTTGACAATTTAGAAAACAATTTTTAGAAAAAGGATGTGTTGCTAAAATTGATTCAAGAAGAWATAGAAARTCTGAAGTCTAAAGTAGATTTCAAGGCAAAGAATAGTATCAGGAGTAAAAATAGTAATTTTTTAATGATAGAAAGATCATTTCATCCCAAGAACATAGCAAACCTTAACAGTTATACTCCTTAATAAGAGGTTAAAAATATATGATTAAAATTTTCAGAAATGATAAGAGAAATATAGGAATCCATAATTATAGTCAGAAATTTTAATACCCTTTCCTCAATAATTTATAGAAAAAGTAGATAGGAAATCAGTAATGACTGTAGAAGACTTGGGCAATGATATCAACCAACATAACCTATTGGTGTTTATATTACATTGTACCTGAAAGCAGCAGAATAAAAATTATTTTCATGGGAAAATGGAATATAATKAATTGACCATGCTTTGGTTTATATAACCATTCTCAATAAATTTAATGTTTCAAAGAATGCAAAGTGTGTTCTCTAACTAGAGTGGAATTAATAAGTAATCCATGGGTCAAAGAAAAAAATTAAAAAGTTTTTACCATATATAAAGGTGGAAGCCAGAATCAATTAAATAGATAGAATTGAAGAAACAATAGAGATAATCAATGAAATGAAACCCTAATTGCTTTTTTTTTTTTTTTTTTTGGTACTAGGGATTGAACCCAGGGTGTTCAATCACTGACCACATCCCTACTCCTTTTGTATTTTATTTAGAGAGAAGGTGAATTGCTTAGGGCCTCAATAAGTTGTTGAGGCTGGCTTGAACTCATGATCCTCCTGCCTCAGTTTCCTGAGCAGCTAGGATTACACGGGTGTGTCACTATGCCTGTCTGAAACTCTGATTCTTTAAGAAGATCAGTTAAACAGGTAAATCTTTAACTAGACACATCAAGAAAGAGACATGAATTACTGATATAAGTAATGAAASAACATTGGTATAGATTATATAGTCATGAAAAAGGCTGAGGCAGGAAGACCTGGAGTTCAAAACCAGTCTTGGTAAAAGTGAAGTGCTAAGGAACTCAGTGAGATCCTGTCTCTAAATAAAATGCAAAATAGGGCTGGGAATGTGGATCAGTGATTGAGTGCCCCTGAGTTCAATTCGTGCCACCCACCCTCCAAAAAAAAGAAAGAAAGAAAGAAAGAAAAAAAGCCTACAAATATTGTTCATGAACATAAACAAAATATTTTTTAAAATTTTATATTTAAAAGAATAGCATATCATAACCAAATAAAGTTTTCACCAGGAATTCAAGGTTGGTTTAATGTTTGAAAGTTAAACCCATGTAATTAATTCACTATATTAACAGACTGAAAAGAAAGATTATGTGATCCTCTCATATGCAGAAAATGCATTTGGCAAAATTCATCCCCTGTTTCTGATAAAGCTCTATAAATAGAAAAAAATTTCTTCCACCATATGAAATGCATCTATGAATAAAGTAAACTTTATTGTACTGAATGGCTAAAGTCTGAATGTTTTCCCCTTTGTTCAGACTCCAGGCAAGGATGTCTGCTCTCATCACTTCTGTTCAACAGTGTTCTAGAAGTTCAGCCATTGCAATAAGGTACAATAGAGATAAACACCAGGCAGATTTGAAACTATAATACAAAAATTATGCATTTCAGTGTCATCAAAATTGTAAATTTTGTGGGTTTTTTTTTTCAAAAACACTGATACACAAAATAAGCAAGTATCATACTAGAAGAAAAATTTTGCAAAATGTGCATATGTGTTGCGATATAAGATWTATAATTGAAATATAAAAAGAAATTTTATAAATTATAACAAAAGACCAACAACCCAATGTCAAAAATAGGCAAAAGATTTGAACATATACTTCCTGTAAAAGGATATATGTATGACAAATAAGATTATGAAAAGATGTCAACCTCATTAGTCATTAAGAAAATGGAAATAAAAACCACAATAAACTACCACTATTTACCAGCTAAATTGTTAAAAATAAAAAGAGTGACCAAAACTAAGTTTTGAAAGTCTGTGGAAGAAAGGAAATTCTTATTTACTGACAGTGGGAGGTGAAATGCTACAACCACTTTGGAAAACACAGTGGCCATTTCTTAAAAGTTTAAACATAAAATTCCTATGAGACTCAAGTTATTCCACTCCCAAAAGAAAAGACAGTACATATCTATAGAAAGACTTTTACACAAATGTTCATATTAGCTTTGTAAATATTAAAAATATAGGCAAACAGATAAACAAATTGTGAGACAATCATAAAATTAAATACTACTCAGCARTAGAAAAGAATGAATTATTGATGCACAAAACAACATGAATGAATCTTAAAATAATCATGCTGAATTAAATCAGATTTTAAAGGAGAACTCATTATTTTATTTCATTTGTATAAAAATTTTTAAATCCAAGTGATATAAAGTGCTTTGGGAGTGCTGTGGTCATGAGGAGACTTTGGGGGTTAATATATATGTACATACACACACATATGTATGTAGATTCTCTTGATTGGAGTGCTAGTTTCCTGGATGTGTCAAATCAACTTGTGTATTTTGAATATATGCTTTTTATATCATGTTAGTTATATTTTAGTAAAGCTTTAAAAATATTGTGCAATGTAGTGACTTTTCAGAAAGATATGTGAAGAAAAGAAAAGGAAATGACTGAATCCAATTAAGGACTKGGGATATAGCTCAGTTGGTAGAGAGCTTGCCTCACATGCACAAGGCCCTGGGGAGGGGGGATAGTTGAGGATAGAAAAGGTAACATCATACAACAGTTACTAATATGGCATTATGTAAAAATGTGGATGTGTAACCGATGTGATTCTACAATCTGTATTTGGGGTAAGAATGGGAGTTCATAACCCACTTGAATCTATTGTATGAAATATGATATGTTAAGAGCTTTGTAATGTTTTGAACAACCAATTAAAAAAAAGAATCCAATTAAATAGATAGCTGTAAATAGTTGTTTCTTTACCTTTTTAATTACTAAGGGATTTTCACTGGAAGTTTTGAAGCACTCATTGAATTTTCTGCAGGGCTCTGAAATGAGGTTTAGGAAAAATATATGTAAATTAAACTAAAAAAGAATTTCTATCATGTAAGGTGTCAATTGCTGAAATATATGAGAGTATATCTGACTTTAGGTTAAGTTCAACTSCAGGATGTATATATAAATATTAGGAAACATTTCAGGTGGAATTTCATTATAACAGCATAAGAAAAGTGCATTTATATTAAAATATTAATTCTATTCCCAAACTGATAATATAAAGATACACTGTAAGTGCTTTCTTAATTCAGTTAAACTGATTTAAAAGTACATATCTTACAATAGAACATGTTTTTTTCTGTTTCATACCCATCAGGCTGTCACATTCTCTAATTAGAATAGAATTTATGTATTTGTTTCCCTGAAGACAGAGAATATTTGTGCTGACCTATTATTGTATCCTTTCTTTATTTTTTCTTGTTTCATTAGTCTCTCAACTCTACTTTGACTTGGCCATTGAACTAAATCCCCCTGCCTTAAAACCACTTGAAATTTGCTGAACTTTAATTTAAAGACATATTCTGTGTAAGTGATGCTATCTTTTACTAAAGCCTTAATTAACACAACAGTCATTTTAAGATGAAAATATTTTGTACACATTCATAGTACTAACTAAATTCATTAATTCTAGCTAGAGAAAGAGAGAAAAATAAACTTTAATGTTATCTCTCCTCAAATAATGAAAACAAAATTGTGGTGAGTATGTAATGTTAGTGTTCACTCATGGAAAATCAAAGCTACTCAATTTTAAGCCAAAATGTAAATAATACAGATTAATAAGAGTTTGTAATAGTGTTGGAAGGACTGGGGCTATGAACACTGATCTCAACCTTTCCAAATTACTCTAGGAGCAACGTCTTGGACCTGACCTACCTTGAGAGGCACAACCTTTAGCAGAGTCAAGAGGAAGGGGAACCAGGAGGCTGCTGCCACTTGAATTACTRCCCCACATTTATGATGCTGAAGATCAGGCACTGGAATGCTATTATAGTCAGAAAGCTACAATATCTGCTGACCTTGCTTGTTTATACCCACAAATGCAGAATCTGAATATTGGGATGCTGTAGCTAGAAAATTCAAGTTTCTAGTCATGCTTGATATTATATAGCAAAAAAAAAAAAAAAAAAAAAAACAATGAACTTACCCCTAAAACTAACAAATCTTACTAGGTTGCAACTACTAATTCACTAATTCCTATGAAGTCACTCTGTCTTGAAAATGTAATTTTTAAGTTTCCAGGTGCTACAGAATTGGAAGGAATACTAGAAAGAAAGTGGAATAAGTGGACTTTAGCTCTTCATTGCCAATAGAAGAGTGGAGGAGGAATTCTTGAGAGAATAAAATGAATTAACCAGTGTGAATACCTTAGAATTGAATTGTGTCACATAGTAAGTATTTTGTAAATGATTACTCTTACTAACTTTAGAAAAAATATATTTTACTATAGTATACCAAAATAATTTGCATATACTCTGAAAGTTTTAGTAACAGCATGTGTTTATATTTAGTAGGAAAGAGGGAACTGGGTATAATTTTTACCATGCAGAATTCCTTTCTTCTATTGTACTTGTCCTTTGGATTTTACCACACATTGCTTTTGATTAAGTTTATCAGCTTCATTTAGAAAGTATTCTGCTAGGACCTGAGGACAAACCAAGAGGACAAAAACACAGAAGGCAATGACACTAAGGCATGACCTTAAGGAGATGATAGTCCTGTGGGGATGTAAATGAGCAATTCTGTCCATACTGTTTCCTGGACTTGCTTTTTGACTGATGTAGTTTCCCTTTTGGTATCAGCTTAAAGATTCATATCCCCTTTCTCTTAGCTAGTTTTATAGGGATTAGAGACTACAATCATGCCAAATACATGTTGGACACAATAATAGTAATAATATTTATTAATGTTATTGCAGTACTGAATTGAAGTTAGAAGAGAGAAATAATTATATACTGAAAAACATATTTCATAGTGAGAAAATTCTATTTAAAAATCACTACAGCCATTTTAGCAATCATATAGGACCACACCAGTAATTTGTASGAGATCCAAGAAAATATTCCATCAGTTGAGAGCAACTCACCTGAATGAGGTCTTGGGGGCATTTTGACTCTGCTTTGGGCTGGTGACACTCCTCTGACAGGACTCTCTGGGGCAGCAGGACTCGGTGGATAATTGCATTTGGCAAGTGGTATCTCATCCTTCTCTAACTGGTCAAACTGGCTAACACCATACAGGTCTCCGAGAGCAAGCTCATCGTCATTCACAGTACAGATCGGAATGTTATTCAAACCTAGGTGAATAAGATTAAAAAGATCAAACAAACAKATTAAGGTTTAGGCAGTTTTTCTTTAAATATTGGCAATTTTCAACCAAGTATTGTTAAATGTGCAGCACTGGACTTCCAAAATGTATGAACCAGTGCTAGGTGCTATTCTTCAGAAGTTAGCATAGGTAATTTTGTTTGCAATASATGCTTCCTTAAAATATTCTGGCATTTTATCAACCTTAAGAACCAGGCCACATCTTAGAGTGAAGATGAATAGGCCTGCTTTTATCCTTTYACCCAAGTCTCTCACCCATGTAAAATTTTAGATTTTTGAAAGCATTCAGAACAAGTCCTTTAAAAAAGATACTCTGGATTTTTTTTGCCAGCAGATGGTCAAAAGCTTTTGGAGGTAGGACTAGGAGGCTGGATAAAGGAGATTGTGAGGGTAGTAAAGAACTTGGTACAAAGGGACCTTACCTCTCCTGACCAGAGACTTCTGGTTCATTTACTTTCTTCTAACAGTTGTTTGCTTTTGATTCAAATATAGAAATATGCTCAAATGTGAAATTATAGAGAGGTTCTTTTTTCAATATCAATGCAAAGTCATGTGGAATTGGACGGCTTAGGAAATGGTAATGTGCAGGACATTGATTCATTATCAGTGGGTTATAAGAGATAATAAAAGATGGCTACTTTATCCCCCAAGAAATTACCAGGCAAAACTGCTGGAGTTTTCATGCTTATTCAGTCTTCAAAATCTCCCCATAGTACTGCTAGTCTTCCCTCTTCTTATTTATTTGCTCAGATGACATAAAAATGTCTTTGCTGACAACTCTGTCTGAAATACAGTCCATTTCTCACTGTCCCCTTATGTTCTTTTCTTTTTCTCATTGCACTTGTTACTTTTCATAGTATACCTATTTGCACATTGCTTGTCTGAGTTGCACTAGAACGTAAGCTTCATGAAAGCAAGGATTCTGTCTGGTTTGTTTGCTCTCCATTCCCAGCGCCTAGAACAGTGCCCATCAGAAAGTAGGTGCTCTTTGATTATTTGTTGAATGAATGACTAAGAAAACCAAACATAAGGATTTTATCTAGTCAAATACTTAGATAAGAAATCATAAATGATTTCTTGAAAAGCCCTCAGATGCAGCTAAGGTGGCCACTGTTGCTTCTCAGAGAGGAAGGGAAATCACAGAAATCCAGGCTCTCTTTCAATGAAAGAACCAAGTCTCCTTAGTAAAAGAAGAACCTGGAGATAGGTAATGGCTACTATGGCAGGGACAGGTTTGGGGTTTTTGTTGTTGGTGCCATTTTTGCCTCTTAACAAGTGATACATACATGGTCTCACAATCTGGCTTTGGCAAACATTCTGAAAGCAGCTATGACATTTGCTTATATTTCTTTTTGCAACACAATAATAATACTCAAACTTCTTTATCTACTGTTTCTGTGGTTAGAATCATTTTACTCTGTGTCTCTTGCCTGGATCTCTAAGACTTATCAGAATATAGCTTGAAATCTACCAAGCAAATGTAAGCTATTAAGATAGTTATGTGTATAGGTTCAAATGCTTCCTATTCTCTTTAATGGAGCTTGAAGAGGTTACTAATTTGGAAAACAGATGGAAATTTTTTATTTTTTATATGTATTGATCGTGATCCCATTTATTGTTTCCTTTCTTCAAAATTGTTTCTCTCTATTCCCAGAGACATTTTACTAGTTCTATCTCAGTATATCAGACCATTTCTTTTCTTTCACTGGATTATATATAATCAGAAGTTGCAACTATTGTTGTAGTGTATGCTACAGTAGACTCACCACTTGCCTAGAACATGGACTAAGGATATAGCTGAGCTCTCCAGCTGCCATGACCATCAGTTACTTCTGAGTAAGCCTAAGTCCCTCTCTTGGAATTACTCTTGGTTAAAGGAAGCTCTCATGCCCCAAAGAGCTCAACCAATGAGTGGGGGATGAGGAGTTAGCAAAAGGCATGGTGTCTTTGCCTGGAATTGAGATATCTCTGAAGGATCATCTGCTCCTTGTGGGACTGGTTGAGGCCTCTGTTGTATTTGTGTGGCAGTTCAACTTCTGCCTGATTCTGCTTCCCTTGTTTTTTCACAGCTGTTACTCCCCAAAGCACTCCCCAATAAAGCTACCCAAATCTCCATTTCAGAGTCTCTTTCCAAGGAATCTGATCCAAAAATATTGCTCTGTAGAAAAATATAGGGTACTATGATAAAACATCATGTAGGAAAATCAAATTAAGATTGAGGATATGGAGCCTGGAAAGTCTCTTTGAAGTGATGTTTAAACCAATAACTGACAAATAGAAACAACAAATAATAGGGAAGTTTCATGGCTAGAGGGAGGAGAATATGTTAAAATCCACGGGAAAGGCTTGTTGATGTTCAAGGAACTTAAGTCCAATATGGCATGTATATAATGGGTTTATGAGATGCCATAAGAAATAAGAAATAATCAGAGTCCACATTATAGGGAACATTTTATTTAATATCAAAATAAACAATCTTATCCTAAATGCATAGCAAGTCTCTGAAGGATTTGGTATAGGATTTTTGAACAAATTTACATTTTAATGTTATCTTTTTGGTTGCTCTATCATGAGTGGATTGGACAAGGGTAAGAATGGAAACGGAGCACCAAGAAGGACGAAAATTATGAAAATAAGAATCAGAGCAAAGGTAAAGGAAATGGCAATGGAGTTGTGAACATGACCATAGAGAGAATTTTTTTAAACATTTAGGAGGAAAAGGGATAACATCAAGTGAAATATTGCCAAGGGAAGGGAAGAAGGTGGAGGAGTGTGGAGCAACCTCAGATTTGTGGTACCACTTGTTTATTAGTGTATACTAGTTGGGGGGACCACACTTCTGGGAGAAGACTAAGAGTTTAGTTTTGAAGAGGAAGTTCAGGTTTTCAATCAGGCATTCCATTCCTCACAAGTAGGCAGCTGAATATTTAGGTCTGAACTTTAGAAGTCTAAGATGTGTATCGGAAACTATTGCCTATCTATGACATTTAAAATGAGTGAATGAGTGTATTTGCCTAGGATTAGAGTATAGATTACAAAGAGGAAATAGCCAACGGTTGACCTGTGAGGGATTCTAAGATTTTACTGCAAGCTGGAAAGTAGAAGCCACAGGGATAGAGAAAAAAACAACAACGTAGAAACATATGATGCTACAGAAGCTAAATAAAATATCCGGGGTGGGGGGGAAAATGAAGGAAGAAAAGAAGGACGGAAGGGAGGGAGGGAGGAGGTAGGGCAGTTGAAAGGGAGGGATGAATTAAAGTATTAGTGGTTAACTTTGTCAAATGCCACTAAAAGGTCAAGATGGAATTAAACAGTGTCTATAGCAGATATTTGTCAGGTCAGCTCAGAACCCTTGTCTTTCTGCCTCTGCTCAGTACCACTGCAGAACAAGGATGTTTGTCCTGATGGGTCTGGACAGCTGAGCAGCCTCCTAATATTCTTTGTTTCTAGTTTCAGGCCTTTTTCCGACAAAGATGGTTCATTTGTATTATGATAGTAGTCTCACTTTTCAGGATTAAGATATGTTTCCATCTGCTGGGGGTTCACTGAAACAATGGTTCTTATTTAGTAAGTGAGAATCTCAGGGGTGGGTTTGAGGATCTAATGATGAAGCCCAACAGCTGAAGCTATACACTCCCTTAATGTCCCACAGTTACCCATCCTGGGCAAAGTGACAAGTTCATTCTAACAAGTCCCAGTAGTTCTGCTTGTTTTCCATACACTCATAATCTTGAGAAATCTACCTCTCAAAACAAAATCTACCTCTTTTTTGTTTCATCTAGAAGCCAAAATATTGGTAAAACCTATACACTTTTTATGATTCAAGCCAAGCTAAATTTTGAGAAGATATTGTCATTAATATCCAATTTCCAAAACGCCTGTTCCATAAAGTTAAAGGAAGAAAGAATAAAAAAGAAAGGAAAGAAGGGAGGGAGAGACAAAAGGTATGTTTCTTTAGGGCTCGTATTACATGGCAGGCTGCGCTTGTAGTTGAAATATTAAAATACTTTTAAACCAATTGGACAATGCTACCCTTAGTCCCCTGAATGGTCCGCATTGCCCTCGTGACTTTGACCCCCTCTCCAGGCCCCTGTCCTAACAATCAAGCAATCCAATGGCTAATGTCTAACAGAAAAGAGACTTGCTGTGGTGCTGGCTTTTGGTCCTAATTGTCAGCGAACATGCTTTGCCACTGGTTAAATATTTTGAATAGCTACCTTTTGTTAACTCACCAGAATCATCAAGTAAACCAATTGTGGAGGAAAGAGACACATCCTAGGACCTTAAGTCCCCTTACCTTTGATATGGCAGACTCTTCTGGGATGAGGAGTATGCCTAACTAGAAAACAACTCCCATTTCTAGTCACAATAGGGTTGCTTTTGCTCTCAAACTGAAGAACAGAAGTTGGGGATTTGAAGTTCCTTTGCATGACCTGTTGGTTGACCTCCTTCACTGTTGCCAAAAAAGTCCTTGGGGTCTAAATTGATTGACCTTAGTTTCAGTTATGCTCAGACCCTGAAATCACAGAATAAAAATTGTTCTCACAAGAGATTTTTGACATTTTCTTATACAGCAAATATTTCCCATCATCTTTGCACTGAATTACTTCTCATGTCAAAACAATATGAGGCATTTGCTTTCAGATCAGATGTTTGTAAACCACAAAAATAGTATAGGTATGAGTAGAACACAAAAATTTTCCTCTGGAAAATCAAAGAATTTGTAACAAAGTATATTCAATCTTTAATTGCATTTAAAGTTACTTTGTTGGCTTACCAACCAAAAATCACATTACATGATTATTAGCAATTTTGACTTAGTAAATTATAATGGTGGCTTTAAAATACAATGCCTAGAAATGTGCTTTACATAAAATTAACTTTAAATGAAAACATTTCATAGCATAATTTAAGAAGTCTAGCATTTTAAATTTGTATTTTCTTCTAAGAAAATGATATAACCTGACGGAGAAAAATTCCAAAAGAATAACACTATATCTATAGATAATAAAATTAAGAACTTTTGTCATACTGTTGTTTGCAATATTCAGTAATTTTTACTTTTCCTTTCAATCATTTAGCAAACATTTATTAGATACCTACAGTGTCATAGGTTTTGGAGAATAAAAATAATGTTATTACTTGCTGAATTCACAATAGAGTAGGAAAGAAAATACTTGAATTGAGAGCAAAGGAAAGACATTACTTTCTTAAAGATGGTACACTACTCTTATAATCTAAGAAGGATTTTATTTAATTAATTAATTTACTTTTTGGTGGCTATTGTATATATCTCTCATCTTACACAGATGCCAATTCATCGTGGTGGAATTTGGAAATACATGCTTTTATTTCTAATTATGGCAAGGTGATTTTTTTGGGTCAGACTTATTTGCAGTGTCAAAACATGTTCATAGTCTTCCTAGTTGTGGTGACACAGGCCTGTAATCCTGGCTACTCAGGAGGCTGGAGCAGGAAGAGGCCAACCTGAGCAAGTTCAAGGCCAGACTGGGCGACTTAGCAAGACCCCTATCCCCAAAGCAAAAATAAAAGAGCCAGAGATGTAGCTCAGTGATAAAGTATCCTGGGTTCAATCCCCAGTGTTGCCAAAAAAAAAGTCCAGGTTGTAGAAATTGAAATCAGGATTTTATTGGGGTGGGGTATATTTAGTTGGTTGACTATCTTTTTATACCATAGTCTGGATTTTCCAGGGTATGGGTTTAGAGCATATAGTCTATAAATTACCAGTCCTGTTGCCACAGAACATCTGATTTTCAAGAATTTCAATTTGATACACATTAATTCTAAAATTATTATGTTAGATAAAATACATTTAAATATTATACTTAGAAGATACAATTTTCCGATAATAAAAAGTATGTTTTTTATTGTTTCTTATGACGATCACAATGTGGGTTTAGTTCTAAATTCCTTGCATAACCTCTTGGTATGATCAAACTTTAGATTTATTCTTTTTATGTTAGTAGAATCTTATTAAAATATAAAAGCAAAATGAATTACAGGCTTCAAGGAAGCACTGCTATTTTCATAAGAGAAGAAAGAGAACCCTCTGCTTTAGTCAAATTAGCATTGCTGTAACCAAAATACCTGACAAGAGCAACTTAGAAGAAGAGAAGTTTATTTTGGCTCACAGTATCAGAGTTCTCAGTCCATAGACTACCAACTACAATAGACTACCAACCACAGTCCGTAGACTACCAACTCAAGGTGAGGCAGCACATCATGGTGGGTAGGATGTTGTAAAGGGAAGCTGCTCCCCTCATGGCAGAGGCAGGAAGCAGAGATGGGATAGGAGTAGAGAGAAGGGGCCAGGGCTTTACCTGCCCACAGTTACCACCCAGTCATTCAAAAGAGGACAGACTGATTAGGTTTTGACTCATATTTCAAGTCCTTTACCTCTGAATATTGCTGTAGTAACCCAGGAGTTTTTGGAGTGATACCTCATATCCAAACTGTAACAGTCTGCATTGATTTACTGTTGACCCGTTATACCAAATTTTAAAGTAAGTCACTACCATTTAGACCCACCTAAAGAATTGATGTGGGACAGACACACATAGAAGAACTAGAAGAACTGAATGTTTCAGTTGACATATAAATGAATCCCATCAGACTACAGATGAGTAGCTAAAATATAGACAGTAAATTACTTAATCTGCAGACACTTTGCTAGTTAAAGGCAAAGAGGGGACTATAAATCCAATTTTTATTCCAGTTTAGTGTCATTATCACCATCCAAATTGCCTGTTGTATCTTTTTACCCCAATACAGATTAAATGAATTTACTGGCGTGATTATACAAAAGGTTCCAGATAGGAAAAATAACTCTTACTTTTGGCTTACAAAAAATTTATTTTGATGTTACAGTTTTTTATTGTTTACAAATTACGTTTAGGAGTAAAGGTAATATACAAATATTTTAGTGACATGCATCCCTGAAAATTCTGCAAAATATAAAATATTTATTGTTTGCTGTGATCTGAATGTGTCCCTCCAAAATTAATGTGTCAGAGCCCAATCATTAATGTGATAGTATTAGGAGGTGAAGCCTTTGGGACATGACTAGGTCATGAGGGTATAACCCTTATGAGTAGAWTTGGTGCCCTATAAAAAATATCCCAGAGAGCTGCTCCACTCTTCCCATCATGTGAGAATGCAGTGAGAAGGTACCATCTGTGAACCGGGAAGTGGGCCCTCACCAGGCCCTTAATCTGACAGTGCCTTGATCTTTGACTTCCCAACCTTCAGAATTATGAGAAAATCAGTGTCTATTTTTGATTGACCCAGTTTTTGATATTTTGTTATAGCAGCTAAAATGGATTAAGGCAGCGTGCTTTTTGGTTTAAACTTAAATCTTCAAAGATACAGTAAATGAATAATTCAGAATAAAGGTTTATCTTGAATTATTCTAGCAAATAAGATAATATTGAAAAAAACAGAACTACCTTAAACCTGAAGAAAATAAAAACTATGTCAATTAAACACTAATAATGGCCCACATCTTTCTCTTCAACCTCATGCTTATATTGATTTAAAAAATCTTTAGCCAATTAATTATTCATTACCTAGTGACTTTATGAGATATCTTTCCAAAATACATGGATTGATTTAGTGCAATATTTGTCTTTTAAGATTTCTTTTTATGGTGTTAAGTTTGAGTGATACCTTTTTAGAACTTATAAACTCAAAAGTAATGAAAAGATCATTCATCCTTGCACAGAATGAACTCTTTTTATCAGAAGGCAAGAAATATGAAAAAATAAAATAATATACTTATTGATGAATAAATATTGTCTTTTCTTGGAGAATCAGAGATACTTATTTCTAAGATAGAAACTAAAACTTTTGCTAAAACCTATATTAGTGATAACTATCAGTGCAAATTGGACCCATGTATATCATTGGTGAATTCCATAAACTGAAGCAAAGTTTTGTCTACTTCTAAAAATGTGCCATTAATTATTTACCAAGGTCCAGATAGAATCCTATGATAAATAATAGTCATAGAATACATACAGAGAATAAAATCTACACACTTGTTTCCAGTATTTCGGGCATTTTGCTTTATGATATAGGAAAAGCAGTTCTCAGACTGTTTTCCCCACTATAATTGAATGACAACATTCCTATGACATGATCAGATTTTAGAGAATGCATCCCAAAATTATGAAGAAGCAGGGTATTAAAAAGTCCTGACTCAACCTTAGTGTGTCAGCATTGCTCACAAGAGCTAATTCTGACACTAATCTTTTCAATCAGGTTAAGAACAGGCATTTCCACTGTACATAAAAGAGAATGTTCGGTAACTTACCCTGCTCTGTATTAATTTCCCTTTAAAAGTAAATATATTGCAAATATGAAAATTTTAGTAACTATCTCGGCTCTTACCTTACTGTTCCTGTTGCAAAACCAAGGCTGAGACTTCCAGACTTAAAGGATACCCCCAAGAGATCTCCTGACTAAAGGTAGCTCAGTTCTGTTTATACTTCCACTTGTGACGCTAACAGTCTGCTTTCACTTTGAAAAGAAAAAGAAAAATCTATATTGAGGTACATCTGTGGGAAACTTTAATTGAAATCAATGCTTGTCATTCAAGCAATTGCGCAAATACTTCTGGGAACAATATTTTCTTATAGTCTCTTTACCTCTATATCATCAAAATACTGAATTTTACTTAGAATAAATGACACATAATCCTCAAAAGAGGAAGTCTTAAAAGCCTTGCTAATCTGCCTAATCCCAGCCTGAGCCATTGTTATTTAGAAAACACCATGTAAAGCTATATGAAATATTAGTATTCTTAGTCCAATATGCAAAACATATGCTTCGAAAGAGAGAATATGATATCTGATTAATGGGATAGCTGAAAATTATTATGAGTTCATAGAGTTATAAAGCTTATTATTTTGGTGATGAATATTGAATCATTTTGTATCCCCTAACCTACCATGCACACCATTCAGATCTTCCCTGGGCTTCTTCCCTCACTGTGTTCATCTCTGTCTACATAACACTTTCTCCAAAAGGCTTCTTAATCCCTCACTGAATAGTTTCACTATCATTTCAACCTCCATCACACTCTAACTGTTTTTCTCCTTAATCTCTCATAGCAATTACCCACTCATGTTATTTATTTATTTAGTTGTACATTTCGTATATTCCCTTGTAGTGATTAAGCAGGCGATGAGCTAGCCCAGTTTTCACTTGTATTCACAGCACCTACATCAAGTATTGAGCATATACTATGTAGCAGCCTGCTACATAGTATATGCTCAATACTTGTTAAATGAACTAAATGTATTTCTCAGAATATCTTCACTCCACAGACTCAGTATGTTTATTTATATGATCCCCTAAAAAACCGGTGACTTACTTTATAAGATTAAATACCCCATTTCCTTGAAACAAA